TACAACTAGAGAGCATCTAAAAGAAGATGAAATGAAGCTTGGAAGGGATGATTTGCTGAGGGATGGATGGCTTCCTTTTATAGCACCATAGGTTGGTTGAAACTCCCCTCCATTTTAGGTGGAAAAGGGTTGAGATTCACCTAACCACCTCACTTGGACTTGGACTTACGGTTTTGAACATGTGGGAAATGTCCTCCTTGCCCTTCATTAATCAAAACGTGCGTTTTAACAAATTGCCCTCCAAAAATGCGCTAGGCGCAATTCTGCAAAAGACAGAATTCTGTTATTTTCTTCCAACTTTGACCGCATTTATCTCATATTTTTCCTAAAGTACCATAGTTTGAATTTTATTCATAAATAATCTATGTATGTTCTACTTTAAGAATATGTGGTTCTTTTTGGCAAATAATAATGGGAAATGGGTCAAAAACGTGGTCAAACAGGGCTACCGACACATGTTTCTGCAGTAAAAAGTCAACCCTAACAGCTTCCTTACCAGGACCACGTTAGATATCCATTGGGGGTAATGGACCTCTCGAATAAAACCCGCTTTTAGTAGTTCCTCCACCTGTTCAGCCAGGATTTCGTTTCTTTCCGGGTTGAAAGCGCGATGCTTCTGCTTTACTGGTTTACAACCCTCGTTGACGTTAAGTTGGTGGACCATGATTCCTCGATTGATTCCGGGCATATCCTCATGTGACCATGCGAATACATCAGTGTTGCTTCTAAGGAAACTTATAAGGCTCGCTCTCTTCTTATTCCCCAACCTGGTTCCAATGTTGACACGACGATCATCGGATGTCAAGGGGATGGATTCCACCTCTTTCGTCGGCTCTCCCCTATCGAAGATGGTTGGACTTGGTAGCTGATCAGGGCTCGAACATATCTCTCCCAAGCCGTCGACTGCTCTATCTCCAGGTGTCAGGGGTATGGATTCTACCCCTCCAACTGGTTCTCCCTTGTCAAATGTGGTCGGGTTTGGTTGATGATCAGGGCTCGGGCATATTTCTCCCAGGCCGTTGGCTGCCACCTCGAGGCTCTCTTCTTCGAAACACTGTTGACCTTCAGGATTTGTATCAACTCGCTTCATTCCGACCTTCCTCGGGTTTGGGCTTCGTCTCGACTCTTGGCTTGTATCTTTACCATAGACGACGCCAAATGTTGAGCTGGGATTCTAATATACCGGTTCTTTGCGCTCCGCGCACCAACTCGAATACTTCGGGACCAAACACCTGCAAAACCGAACAAAACCCTAACCTGGTGTGACCTCAGTCACACTGGCTCCGATGCCTAAGTCAGCAAGAGGAGAGATCACTAAACAAGTAAAACACTTGAGTGTGTGATTTTGGCTTACCTTTGAGAGGTGACCCTTTCCCTATTTATAATCGAATAGCCCCCTAGGGTTTCACAGTCGACTAACCCTAGATTTGATATTCGTGGGCTTTGGGCCGAGATACCTCCAGCGTTGGTAGATGAATAGGTACAGGGCTCGGCTTTGGGGCCCGAACATTATACGCTTGAAACAGGGATCGAAAGGGAAAAAGGAGGGTGTCGAAGGTCGAAGGGATCGGCGCCAAGGTGGGGTCGGCCCCTTTGATGGACCAGTCTCCGTGTCTTGGGCTGGCTCTGCTTGTCGATGGACCCGGTTGTCCTTCCTGACGTAGTCCAATCTTCTATCGTATTGCTCCATGCATAACAAATACAATGATCAAATGAACAATTAGTAGTAGATGTTACTTAACTAAAAGTCAATATATACATATTTAGCAAAATGATATATTTGTATAAAGCTTTAAAATAAAAAAAAATTAACTTCCAATAATTAATTTATCTTTATTAAGTTAAAATATTAAAATTATTTTAAGCAATTATGTTTTAATTTAAGTTTCACTAGTTAATAAATATATTATTAATAATATATCTAAATTTATGGGGTTGATTTATTTAGCAATCAATCTTTATATGTTTAACAAAATTAATCATTTTCATCTTATTAATTGCATCAAATAATTACATTTCTTTTGTTACAAAATTTACATTTTTTAGTTACAAAAATTAAGTATATACTTTAACAAATTAGTTTATTACAATAAAATAATTAATTCAATACATTATTGGCTGTTATTTTATCCATTAGAAATTTAATTTAAATATTTTAACTAATTTTAATTAATTAATTCGAATAAAATAAAGTAAATAATTACATTAAACAAATAATTTATTGAAAATGAATAAAATAAGAGTCTGACACAAAATTCATGAAATTGGACTGGCAAAGAAAACCCTTATCTATGGGAATAAGGGATGTCCGAGAATGTCCGAGAATTAGTTGTTCCAAGTAAAAGTTTTCAAATCTGTGTAATAAACAAGGACTTTCTAGTACATGTCCATTTCCACGGGGTAAACTCCCAACCAAACGGCCTAAGTATGTATACTAACGTGTTATTTGGATCTCTATTCACTTGACAGGTGCAACTGGAAAATTTGGGACTATTGGGAATAGATGCTGGATAATGCGACAACAGAGAAAGTGAAGATGATGATTGGTTCGTGAGTAATCTGGACGCCTAAGAAAAAATGTGCTTTTCCAAAGGGTGAGCCATAATACGGAGACCCTAATTCACAATACAAGGAAAGTCATTATCGAAAACAAGCCAATATTGGACCAACAAATCACCAGTGCATTAACAACACATCATAACAACAGAGTCATCAAGGCAAGAATTCCCTGGACCCCTCCTCCCCCTTAGATTTGGACACTGAATACTAATATGGCTTGGTCGGAGACTCAATAGGCAGGAGGACTTGGGTGAGTCTTGCGTAATTGAGAAGACAAAGATCTTACTAAAATAACGTGGGTAGTTAAATAAATTTTACATCTTCAGGATGCTTGTGGCGTATCTCTTTTAATAAAATACATAGGGATGGTAATTTTTGCACCCACTATCCACGGTTTTCAAATTAGAGGAAAGTGTATGTTGGATTACTTGTATCCCTGATTGGCTAAACTTTGTGGCGATTCAGGACTTTATTTCTTCTTAATAAAAGTATTTTATTTTCTCAAAAAAAAAAAGTTATCGTGGCCTTTATTCAAACCAAATAAGTTAGAAAAAATAAGTATTGGGTAAGTAAATTTTACGCAACAAAATAGTACAACAATGATCTAAATAATCACTTTTTGAAAGTCGAAAGATTAAAATAGTAATTTTAAAACTTTAGAAACTAAAATCAACATTTTCAATGTCTGAGTGACGAACAATAAAATGAGAGTTAAACTTATATTTAAAGTGAATTAAAAATGTAAGCAATTCAAGATGGAAATTGTTATCTCGTTTATAACTCTCTCGAAGCGATTCAATTGTTAAATGGACAGACACAAGATCATTTTGAAATCACATGAATTGTGGAAGAAGCTCAACAGATGGAATGGAGAAAACATAGTAATCTCGATGTCGAATGTCTCACATCGAGAGGAAGACAAACAGTGTAGCGCATGACTTAGCAAAGAGGGCGTTGAAGGAGGATTTAATAGAAGGGTGGGTCTCAATATCCCTATTTGAGTGGAAAATTTAGTTCAAAATGAACTTGGATTCATTTAAGTGGTAATCTTTTCTCTCTTAAAAAAAAAAGTTAATGTAAAAAAAAAAATTTAAACCTAAAAAAAAAAGATTGCATTTGAGAGGAGCATATAAAAGAGGACTGTTATGTTCACTGAGTTTAAAGTTTTGAACTCGGAAAATCAAGTGACTCGGTGAGTGAAAAAGCCGGCGCCAAAGGAGAGCTCTGCAAAATTTGTTGTTATTTTAGGATAAGGCGAAGGCCTCCCCTCGCCCTCTGGCCTCTCCTTTCAATTTCCTCTCTCTCACTCCTCTCTCTCTCTCTCTCTTGTTCTTGTTGTTCTTTTTCTTCCCCCCATTTTCATCCACTTTACTTCCAAAACCCATTTGGGGAAGAGGGAGTTTTCAGCGTAATGGTCAATCTTCAAGCTTCCTTGTTTTGCAATCCTTCTTTTTCTCCCTTGCCTCTGCTTTCTCCTCCTCGCCCCCCTCTTTCTTCTTCTTCTTCTGCTGCTGCGAGGCAGAGGATTCCCTGCTCTCTGTTTTTGCCTTTCCACTATCCGCACACTTCTCGCTCCATTTCTTGCAACTCATTTTCGTTTTCTAATCTACGATTTGGGTCGCGTTCTTCTTCTTCTGTTCCGTGTACATTGCACCCCGAGTATGGGAATTTCAATTCAGAATCAATTTCTTCGGCGGGCGGCTATATGGGTTCTGGTCCTCAAGATTTGGGAATTGATGGGTTCGGCGATCAGGGCGTGAGGTTCGATGGGGGCAAGTTGGAGGATGGTGGAGGCGATGGCGCCAGAAATGGGGCCTCCGAATTTGAGATGAATAATGATGATAATGGCGAGGCAGTGTTGGATACTTCTGGATTGAGTGTGGAAATGGTGGGAAGTGAGAGTGAAATTCAGACCGAGAAAGAGAGGAAGTGGAGGAGGTTGCCGTTTGTGGTGTTCTTGATGGGATTGTGGGCAGCGACCAGAAGGAAATTTGAGAAGGTAATTGAAATCGTAATGGACTGGTACAGTTGGTGGCCATTTTGGCGGCAGGAGAAGCGGCTGGAGCGGTTGACTGCAGAGGCAGATGCGAACCCGAAGGATGCGGCGAAGCAGAGTGCTCTATTAGCCGAGTTGAATAAGCAGAGGTTATGTTCTGAACCTTTTTTTTTTTCTTTTTTTGATTGCCAACTGGTTCTGTTTTGCGGCAGCAGAAGATTTAGTTGATACTGTTTTCAAATTTCAAGTTTGTATTAGAATCAAGGTTCTCGAAATAGCAATGACCGTGTAATTTTCCTCTTGCATCTACAACCTTTTCCTTCTGAGGTTAAAGGAATTTATTCTTGCAATGCCTTCTTTAGGAGTCTTCTTTGGAATTATGACTTCACAAGTCATTAACTGGACGGTACTTTTCTGTCTTGTAGTACACAAATTCCGTGTAAAAGTTGTTTTTCCTTGTTTTTTTCCCTCACCAATGGCCTATTTTTAGGAAGAATAAAGTTGTTATTTCTTTAAAAACTATGGATTTGTGAATAGTGATTTCAATTTATACAAATAACACTAGTTTTTATTAGCAATTCATTTAAAAACTATTTTGAAGACAAAAAATGGTGAGAACTGGTTTCTAAACAGCCTGTTTAGTTTTCAATGACCATGTAATTTTATCTATCTCTTTTAGATTCGAATCATCCCATTTTCCTTTGTCATTTGCTGTGGTTAAAAGAATTAATTATAACAATGCCTTCTTCAAGTAGTTTTTGTTTGGAATTATGATTTCACATGTCATTAACTGGCCGGTACTTACTGTTTCATGCTCTATGTAATGTGTGTTTCCAATTCCAGTCCTGAGTCTGTCATTAGGCGTTTTGAACAAAGGGATCATGCTGTAGACAGTAGAGGAGTAGTGGAGTATCTTCGAGCTCTTGTGGTCACCAATGCCATTGCTGAATATCTTCCAGATTCTGAAAATGGAAGACCGTCCACTCTTCCTACATTGGTACTCAAGCTTGCCCGATTTCTCTTCCTTTCTTAAAAAGATCTCAAATTTGTATGAACACGCTTCAATTAATTGCTCTTTGGTCTGTTCTTATCAATATTTTTAGTTGTTCATGTTGTTCTTCTAATTGAGAAAAAATGCACAGCTACAAGAGTTGAAGCAGCGTGCTTCAGGAAATGTGGATGAGCCCTTTATGAACCCTGGCATTTCTGAGAAACAACCATTGCATGTAGTAATGGTAAGTATCATATCATTCATCAGGATACGGTGTTTCTTGGACTTTTCCTCCTCTATCATTTAATATTCGTTTTGTTGCTCTATGAGAATTACTATTTTTTCCCCCAATTTTTAATATGTGAGTTGAAATGCTTCTGAAGGTTGACCCTAAAGTGCCCAACAAGTCTCGTTTCATACAAGAACTTATCTCCACTATACTTTTCACAGTTGCTGTTGGATTAGTATGGTATTAGCGTTTACCTCATGATCTCTGTCATTGTTCCCCTCCCCCTACCCCCGATTTTAGGGTGGTTTTGTGTTCTTTTAGTTGTCAATTGTATTAAATGAAAGTTCTCTTTCAGGTTTATGGGTGCTACTGCACTTCAAAAGTACATAGGGAGTTTGGGGGGCATAGGAACCTCAGGCGTTGGTTCAAGTTCTTCATATGCACCAAAGGAGTTAAATAAAGAAGTTACGCCGGAGAAGGTAGATACAAAGTATTCTACGTGCTGATTGTATGTGAAATAAATATTGTAAATGTTGCAAAAAGTTGGTGGTTGTTTGGAAACTATTTCCAAAATGGTTTTTTGCATTTTGGAACACTATTTATGTATTAAAGTTGCCTTCTTTTTACTGCATTTTCATAAATGCCTATATATTTTTTTAAAATTTTTTATAGAAAAAGATAATGTTGTCATTTGTTATAAAATCATGAATTTGTGAGTAGTGATTTCAACATGCACATTAACACTAGGTTTTATAAGCCATTTGTTAAGAAACAGTTTTGAAAACAAAAACAGTGAAATCAGTTTTCTAAACAGTTCTCCACTATTATTGCTTTTTTCCTTTTTCCGTAGAGACATGGGTAGAAAAAGATTGTTATTGTTCTAGTTTTGATCAGCCTGGGCAGAAATATAGGATCTTGGTTTAGTTCTAACATGATTTGACTCCTAGGCTAGGTGTCAGTTAAGGTGGGTTAGTGTGGGAAGAGAAGTTATTTGTTTTATGCGTAATTTTTCTTTGTATAGATGGTCTTACATTTTAGTACGCTCTTATTTTATGCAGGTAATTGACAGGGAAAAAAAAAAACTTCCTTTGGACTGAAAGCACGTGATTCAAGATTTTTTATTTTCTGTACTTGTAAGCATTACCTTTCTTCTGGAGCATTTTTGTTCTTAATTACGGGATAACTTTTCCCCTGTAGAATGTCAAGACATTTAAGGACGTTAAAGGTTGTGATGATGCAAAGCAAGAGCTGGAAGAAGTGGTGGAGTACCTGAAAAACCCTTCCAAGTTTACTCGGCTTGGTGGAAAGTTGCCAAAGGTTTGTGTTCGTCATTCCCTGTCTTGATTTGAATTTGTGGTTGCTTTTTTATTTATTTTTTATTTTTTATTGGGATAAAGACATTTATATTTAAAACTGCACCAAAAAAAGGACAACCTAAGGGCAGAGGGTTGAGAAAACCCCCTCTCAATACTTAAACAATAGTAATTTAAAATGGAATTAAAGCTATAGTTGCACAAAAATTTCTTGTGATTTGTTATCCACCAAGAAGCTGTGTCCTTGTACACTAGTACCAAAAGAATCCACGGAAAAAAGATTTCCATCAAAAAGTCTACTATTCCTCTCCCTCAAAAGAAGCCATAATAAAGCTGAGCTTGCAGTTCAAGACTGTTTGAGCTTTTCCTTTAAGGAACAACCCACCAAAGTACTCCTGTCTTTCACCTTGCTTTGTGAAAACTTTCTTCATTGTACCCTGGGATTTCAGAGGGAGCTTGAAAAGAAAACTTTAAGTTTTGTGTGTCCATATTAATGTCTTGATGTTGGCAGTTTTAGCCAGAAACTATTAGACAATTTAATTTTGTGTCATTTGTTTTTCTAATACATCTTTTGTTGTTATGGTTTATTTATTTATTTTGATAAGAAAGGGAGCCTATATTAATTTTTTTTGAACAAGATACAAACTTTTCATTGAATGATAAAAAAGAAACAAATATTCAAAGAAATGGAGAATATATTAATAAAAAAACCTATACAAGAAGGGGAATGATATTCTTGTATAGCTAAAAGGTTACAAAAAGGCTTCCTAACGGGCAATAATATGCAAATGAAAAGAGTCTTTGATGCAACAAATCAAATTGAATTCTTATTGATAGCAGTCTGTCTTAAAGGATACATAAACCAGCCTTTAAATAGGCAAACAGATAAGACACGGTAACAACAAGTTACCATAGAGTAACTACTAACAACCCATAAAAAACAAGTAATAAAAGGATTAAACAGCAAGCTAACTTATAAGAGGTTAGCTACATCACTCTTCATAGGCAAAGAAACTTTCTACTGAGTGTTTTTGGGAGAGTGTTCATACTTTTGCTTCTTCGTGGTGTCTCGTCGACAGTTTTTTGTTACAGCTCTGTGAATCTTAATGCCAACTGAAAATATTTTTTGTAACCGTTGGCTCTTTGGGGATTGCTTCTTCTTTTATAAAAAGCTCTCTATGATAATGAAATTCTCAGTTTCTTATAAAAAAAAGTGAGAAGATGCAAAAGATCATAGTTACATAAATCTTTAGAAAGAAGACAGGGGCTCTGTGCTAGAGTAAATTCCTTCAAAGGTTCTCTTTTTTGTTATGGTTTATAAGAAATGCCATTGTTTAATTTTACACCTAGATAAAGGATAATTTACCTTCGGAAGTTTTCTCACACAGAGGAGCATGTGTATATGAGAACAAAAATAGGTTACAATAGTTCCTATTCTATGAAAAAGGGTTATAGTTTGTGTCCGCCATTTATTTTCGTCTGCTATATTGCAGAACAGTTGTATGATTTATTATGGTCCATTGGAATGGATCTAATGACATTCGTGGTCAAGATGGTTGGTTGCAGAAGGATCTGTTACCAAATAACCAAATTCAACAATTACAAAAATGGTGGAAATAACCATATGGAACAATAGTAGTCAGTAGTAGTTGGAAAGGGGGCTGTTTTTTCATTAGGAACTATTCAACCAATGGGTTCAATTATATAAGATCATCCTACATCGAAGAAGAAGTTTCAGATAATGTCTCTGAAATAAGTATTAGCAGTTGTGATTCAGAACATCTCTCTCCCGATGTTAATGAAGAAGATGAAATCAGTTATGATGAAGAGTTTAATGTGGAGAAAGCGGTCCTAATTTCCAAGAGGGATTTTTCCCCAAGTCAAAAAGCATTAATGATGACCCTTTATCTTCTTCTCAGAGGCCTTCTAAGTTGATTGAGTCCAATCAAATTCTCGATTCTTATTCTTCCAAGCCATGACTCCTCCGCATTATTTTAGCAGCCTCTTTGAAGTCACTTTCTTGGAAAATCAAGCAGCCGAGACTTTGCTTGGGGCTGTTATTGAGTTGATTCTGGAAATTGGTATGTTAGGACATTAATGAGAAGTCTTTTTAGTTTTCCTCCATGAAAAAAACTGTTCTTCATCAATTTTGTAGCTGAAAGGTTACTTGCCGGTTTTATTGTTACGACTTTCATGACTTTTAAGTGTTTTTAAAGTCCATATCAAGCATATTAAGTTTCCAAGGGTCATTAAACGTTTCCGTTGTCCAAGGATGTTTTTTCTCCACGAAGAGTCATTTTGAAATTCGAAGAGTTTCCCAGTTTTAGTCGAATTTGAATCTAATGTTAAAAGTCCTTGAAGATGGTTTTCGTGTAAGCCAATAGATTTTTTTTGCAACTTTTGGAGCTATGGATTCTTCTCATATTGTTGATGTGGTCCATTCTACCGGTCTCATTTTTTACCTTGCCTCAACTTGAAGAAAGTGATTCTGATTCTTTCGGTGTGCCTTTTTATCTAGTTCTTAGATGCGTTATTCATCAATGTTTTTTTTTTCTCTTGGACTTTCGTTCTTCATTTGTTGTTTTTTTTTTCTTTTCTTGCTCCTTTTAGGGGTGTGTATAACTTTTTCTTCCTTTTCATTCAATGTAAAGTTTGTTTCTTGTTTTAGGTTATTCACCAAATAACCAAAGAAATGGATTACAGTTTGTCATCCATTGACACAATTGTCGATGAATGACCTATTAGACTCATTATATCCAAATTCAACAAATTATTAAAGAAATGGTGGACACTGGACATAACTCTATTTAGAAAGCTTATGGTATGGTTGATTGGGACTTTTTTCTTGAAGTGCTCAATAGAAAAGGATTCGGGCATAGATGGATTTCCTGGATTAAAGGCTGCATTTCTAACACCTCTTTTTCCATAATTATAAATAGTAAGCCCCATGGTTGCATTAAAGCCTCAAGAGGCTTGCATCAAGGAGACCCGCTGGCCCCTTTTTTGTTTGTTATTGTTGCAGAATGTTAGATAAAGGTGTGTTGGAAGGCTGTCTTGATGGTTTCAAGGTGGGAGTGAATGAGATTCAGGTGAATCATCTTCAGTTTGCCGATGATACTTTAATCTTCTCCAAATATGATGATCTTCTTCTCTCAAACTTGGAAGAAATGGTACACTGTTTCGAAGTCATTTTAGGCTTTAAGATTAACCTGGCCAAGTCCCAACTGGCGGGTGTGAACATCCTCGAAGTTAAAGTTGCCTCTAGAGCCAATAGTTGGGGTTGTGAAGCTGGGCAGTGGCTCTTCCTCTACCTGGGAATGCCGTTGGGAGGGAATCCAAAGAAGAAGTCCTTCTGGCAGCCTATAGATGAGAAAGTGGAAAGAAAATTGGCTAAGTGGAACTCTTTGCATTTGTCTATGGGGTAGACTTACTCTGGTTAAATCTGTTTTAAGTACCTCTCTATTATTTCTCCATATTCAAATGCCCGAGGACTGTGATCTTGAATCTTGAACAGCAGATTAGAAATTTCTTCTAGAAAGCAAGAAAAGAAGGGGGTGGCCCTAACCCAATTCGATGGGAGATAGTCTCCGATGAAGCTTAAGCTTCAAAAGGAGGGTTGGGCATTGAAAACTTGGATACCAAAAATCGTGCATTACTTGCTAAATGGGGATGGAGATTCATGTTGAAGAGTGAGGCGTCGTGGAGACAGGTGATTACAAGCAAATATCACCTTAATGAGAAGGAATGGTGGCCTGCGATTAAAGGCACAAGGAAGTTCAAGGGGCCTTGGGTTAATATACTTCCTCCTTGTTTGGAAGCGGATGAATGGTATCTGACGAAGGTCGGGAGAAGGGACAAAATGCTTTTTTGGAATGATTTCTAGTTGACATCTGAGTCGTTGGCTAGAATTTTTCCAAGACTCCATAGAGTGGCTCATTCTAAGTCCTATTCAGTAGCTCATTGTTGGTCAGAAGAGAAAAGAGGATGGGATTTATTCTTCAGGAGGAACCTGACATATTTGGAAGCGGAATAATGGGCAGAGTTATCTTCTCTTCTTGCTGGTTTTGTCCCATTTAATTTATGTGATATGGTGGTTGAGTTTTGGAGGCCTATGGTGGAGAAATCCAAAGCAGGAGAAATTCAAAGCAAAGTTAGAATAATGTAGAAAACTTGTTCTGTTTAAAGGAGGCAGACTGACGTTGGTCCAATCAGTCTTGAATAGTTTACCCCGCTATTGAAGGCTCCTGTGAGCATTACGAAGGAGATGGATAAGATAGTGAGAGACTTTTTTTGGAGTGGAGGCCCCTAAGATGTTGCAGCAATCATGGGATATTACCTCTCTGTCGGTTAAGTTGGGAGGGCTGGGAATTGGTGCCTTCCAGCATAAGAACATAGCTTTGTTAACGAAGTGGCTCTGGCGTTTTACTCAAGAAGATAGAGCCTTTTGGAGGAGAATTATAGCTAGCATCTATGGAGTTGACAAGTTCGGGTGGTTGACAAAAACTCCTAAAAGAAAGGCAAGAGGGAGGCCCTGGTTCGATATTGCCAAGAACTGTGCTTCTTTTAAAGAGGCGTTGGCTAATCAAGGGAGTCGCCTAAGTTTTTGGTTGGATAAATGGGCTAGCAATTTGCCCCTAGTGCACGAATTTCTGGATATGTTTGCCTTATCTTTTAAACAGTGTTTCTGTCAAAGAGTGCTGGAATGGGGAAAATCAAACATGGGATTTAGGCATTGGAAGAGGT